AGTAGTGAAATGTTACGGTGATGTTGACATGACAGCGTAAGAAGGACGTGTTTCCAGAGGGGGGGGGCGGTAGCGAAGGAAACACATCCCTCTTGCTGTCATGTCAGCATTGCAACATCACCGTACATTTTACTGTTGAAGATATAGATGTATACCGTAACGGTTGTCCTAGGTAAAAACAAATTCAAGACTTGGGATTGGAAACACGTAAATTGAAGCAATTTTTCCGCACTTTGCCAAATAACACTTGTTCTCCTATGGCCCCGAACTTTATAATTGGGGTGAGGGGGATGTTTACGTAAGGTGAAGTTGAAAGTGATGTGGAACGACAGTGAACGTTGGGTGGTTGTCTCATTGTTCGACTTGGAATTGAACCAAGGCCCTCAGCACCAGTAAACTGAGTGGAACAGAGACTCGTGGGTCGATATCGCAGTGACCCGGGTGGCAGGTGGGATCCGGATGCGTCGTTGCAACCCGTGTATTTGCTCGTGCCAAATGCTTTGCAGTAGGAACATTCCGGGTTTGATCGCCGTTTTGAATTCTTCATTGACAATCACTCTGCTAATCTACGCTTTTCATCTGTATAAGCGTTGGTATGTAGAGAATTCCAAGAACCAATCCGTCTCCTCGTTAGTCCTCTTTCAGCACTTGATTGTTATTCAGGAAATGCCATGTTTCCATCTATGCCGACGTTCCAAAAGAAATGTTTGCGTTTCTTGTATAGCTCATCTCGTTAATGTAAGCGCCTTTGTAATGGTTTGGCCAATCTTATTTGACTCCCTAGACGTGGTTTGGTTTTCTTTAGTCTAGCTTATTTTCGTTTGTTTTTCCTATATTACAGTTCAATTTATAGGAATCTTGTAGGGTTTGATGTGTAATAATTTTTAAGTGCACAGTAAAGCAAAACTCTGTCGCAAGTATATGAGGGGCAAAGCTCTTTGTGAGCTCAGTCTGGCAACTGTTTATACCTTGCAATTCTTTATATCCACTGAGTAATGTCCTTCTTAAGAAGCTAGTAGTCGCTCGACTAGCAAAGAAATTCTCAATTTTGCTCATCCCAGAGATTCATTGTCGTTTTTACAAGAGCTTGCAACCAGCATTTTCCAGAACCAGGTAAATATAGTCCACACACACTCAACCAGGTTCTTCCAATCCTGTCTGTTCCCTATCGGCATGGGATCTGGGAAGTCTACAGCGAGGTAAGAAAGCTGACCCGAAAGCTGTGATATCCAGTGAAGGTTTTGCTTTGTCATGTAGGACTTGTCACCAAAGAAAGAGTCTTTGGATTTAATCCAGTTATTGCGGCGTTCTGTCATATCGTGATTGTTTGCAGCTATAACTAGGAACTAGTAAACTATGAATGATGAGTGGTGAAGGATTTTGGAGGAAGCTGTCGTAGTCTGTCCTAAGTAGGCTAACTATTCTTGCATTTGAATTGACTGGGAAAAGTTAGGACAGCAGGGATTCGAACCGGAAGCCTCTCCACTCTGATACAGCCAGTTCGTTCTGGAGCAGATGGTTTGATGTACTGGTAGCCTTTGCTGTTTTCTCCTTATTTTATGTCGTGTCAGTTATGAGGTTATTTTAGTGGTGATATTCCTCGCCTACTGGGATAGCGGGTTGGAATTCCGTTTCGGACATGAATGTGTTTCTGTGTGTGCTGTAGTCATCGTAGTTTGACGCCACTATCAGCTGGAAAAGTTATGCAGACATGAAACCGTAACAACATTTTGAGGAAAACCAAAGCTCAGGATATCCGTTTTCCTGGCGGAGAATTGAACCTTTGACCTTTTGAATGTGGAAGGCTGCTTGCTATACTATATTGCTACTTGTGTTAGGAAAAAACAACACGTATCGTAGTTCGCAATTAATGGAGCAGAGGCAGTTATACGAGAGTAAGATTTCTTTGTTTGGCTCCCTGTTTGCGGTTTGACGTCGGAGGTAAATTAAATTAGATAGTGTTTGTATTGAGTTATCTGTAACTGTTGTCCGTCCAGACTACTAGTTTTATGAGCTATTACTCCACCGGCGCCACGCTGGGCTAGCAATGAAAGCATTTCATAGTACGCTTCAGTTGAAAGATTTATATTTCCATAATAATAATAATATCCTCCTCCATTACCAGGGCGATGATTGCCCTGATGATGGCGGCAGCAAGGACGTCTGAAACGTCGGAAAACTTTTACAAGCCTACACGGCGCAACAACCCAGAAGACAGCCATCTTCAGAATTTAGTCTTGTACGAGGCTCTGGATTAGGCGTTTTAATACATAATTCGTGGCACTCTGTGTAAAACTATCCAGTTTCGGCACAAATATTTGTAAACCATTTTTGCAGTAATTGGGTCCTTGGGTATCCCGAAAAGCCGTTCAGATTGCCTTGTGCTATCTTCCTGTCCGTCCGAGTACCCGTAACTGCTTCTTTGTATCTCCTTTTCATTACACTGTTGGAAAGTTGTAAATCACCAGGTGCTGGTCTACGTCTGGCAGAATTGATCCAAGCAGGAGGTGAAACATTGCGTCCTGAGTTCGACTAACCGTTGCATTCTGTTCGGAACATGTAAGAAATGCCACGGCAGTGGAAGGAATTTGTCACTGTATCATTTCGTAAAAAGGACAATAAAAATTGCTATATTAATTACCGAAGACATTTTATCCCACAGTATTCTCTCAAAGTTAACGTAAACGAAATATAAAGTATCATCGGTGTGGATTTGGACAGATATGTCAACTACTGATTCTGCACACGTATGATGCGAAAAAAAATGATGCAGTACATCAGCTCTATGTTTCTCTTAGGAGATAAGTATCGTACAAGATTTTAATTGATTTCAGTATACCCGTGAGACTAATTACGTTAATTAAAATAATTTCAACGAAATGCATGGGAGGTCCGTGTAGGTAAACATTTGTCTCATGCATTTCATATTTGTAATCGTCTAAAAAAAGAGGATGATTTATCACCACTGCATTTAAACTTAGCTTTAGATACGCAAGAATTTTTATTAGAGATTAGGTACTTGGGGAATCTAGTAGTAGGTGGGAAGATAATATAAGAAGTAAGGTGTAAGGAATTGGACTAGACTTACTTGGCTAAGGATACGGTGCAATGACAGGACGTTGTGAACACGATAAATAACATCCAGGTTCCATAAAAGACGAATTCTGGACTAACCGAAGACCTTCTGGCTCAAGGAAAACACTTCTCGGTGAATTGATTCCATTCAATCTGACAATAAGAAGAGTTTCTTGTTTTTTTACTCCTAATGATTGATTGTTGAGTTATTTAATGGCACTCTGTCAACCGCATAAATTATTTTGCACCAACTGGCAGTATTATTGTAAATGGTAGATAGGGAATGATGGGGAAGGAAGTGGTCGTGAAGACGCTGGAAGAACGTGACTTCCCAGTCCTCGTACGTCACAGGTTATTTACTTAACTCTCGCGGGCCGTAGTATTCATTTCATATGTTGATTTGCATTTAAGCCCGTATCATAAAACAGACCCCATAAATTGTTTTCTGACACGAGTCACAGCCAGATGTTACGGGCTTTTTTGATAATTGCCTGTCTGGTTCGTAAGAGATTAGGGAAAATCACATGACGGACTATGCATTTCCCTTTCCCTCACGTTGACATTAGTGGGACTTATTTTTATTTACGATTTTCAAGAAGCGTGTTCCGACTTTAATAGCTGTCTTTTGAACGGTCTATCTATTGTATATAGTCGCCAGACGTCCTGCGAGCTCTCAGTGCGTGGCGAGCAAGACGTCTGGCGACTACCATACTTTTTTTCCGTATGTGCTGAAGATCAAATTTTAGAGGTCAGTTGTCGTCCGTACTTTTATAATGGATTTCAGTTTTGATCGTAGAGCTAAATTTGCCAAAGTATCATTTTCATAATGGCATATTTGAAATGGAGGTGAACGAATTGGAACGTTTACTTTCCGATTTCGAAAGAATTAAGAAACCCCCCACCACCACCACCACCACCAAAGAAAGCAAATAAATGGCAAGTTAGGAATTGTAGGCGTAGCGTAACAGTTTATTCATGCCGGTGAAACCATTACGTTTCGTGAGCATGGACTGCCAGTTTTAAAAATATGGTTAAATATTTCTGAAGTTTTTAAATTAGATTTGTTAGCTGCCGTGTATAAACGCATGGAGAGGCATGGCAGCGGAGAATTTCTTGACAGCATTGTACCATGAAATTTGATTAGTTTGGTTAATCAGAGAGCAACACATGTTCAGATATTTTTGGCTTGGCATCTTTTGTATCGCTTTTTTATGTATCATCCGTGTGTAAATAACGTCGCGGTTTTGCCCCCCTCCCCCGTTTTACTGTCTGCCCCATTACAGACTGGAAGATGCATATATGTGTGTGTGTGTGTTACGCGTCGTTGAATCTTGGGTTTTATGTTTGAATTTAATACAGCCTTGTATAGCCTTAGAGGCTCACGCGCAACTAAACCCATACTAGTACACGTATGTAGTCAGTATTTTAATATCGTGCAGTCGACGTCTGTCGTGTAAGGAACATATTGTAAGTATGTGTGTATATAATTAATATAATAGTAATAAAGTGCGTAGGATCTGTGTGTTTATATTTCGTGGCAGAGGTGCGAGTCCAGAGGCGGTTTGCAGTTTAACTGACAGAAAATGTCTGAAGCGCATTTCCTGCTATCTACAGTAACCTTGAAGCTTCATTATTTTTTTCATCATGTCACGTTTTATATTTACAGGTTCTAACCCCCAAGACCCGACAGGGGGCACAAGTTCCTTCAAAGTTCGTCGCAAAAGAAATCCGGTAAGTAAGTTTCTTCTTATTCTCCTTTCATCATGCGTAACCTTCACGGATGGAAGTGAAGGTCGCCGGGTTAAATCGTCACGTCCCCATTGTATGCATAACCATCACACTTTGCTTTAAAATATTTTAAATATTTTAAAACATTTTACATAATTCCGGTGTGTTCGCCAGAATTTGTCATTGACATTTGCGGGGCGGGTGTTTGTTGCCTACCGGACTTGGTGATATCATGGGATTACCGCCACACTTACTACGCGCCTGTCTGGGGATTCCCTAGTCACTTCGACGCGCAGAAACGCGCGTAGGTGTTTAGGTAAAGTGGCCGTCACTCACATCCGAGTTTTGCCAAGACTGTAATGTGTCGTTTTTAAATAAAACTGCCGAGGTTAAGAATAAGTGGAAATGTCTTTGCCCTTTGTCTTCAGGACATGGCCCGTGATAAAGTACATTGGCAAGTTTTCCTTCTTCATGCTTCGGGCTTCGGTTTATATTGTAATGATACTGTACAAAATTCAGTTCGCCTGGAAACTTTTAGTGCAGAATATATTTCGGTAAATACTCCCAGTGCCGCATGAAGGTTTTTTTCTCCACCACCCATAAAGCCTCCATCCGCTCCTCCGTCAATTTTTGCAGCTGTGGGGTGGTGGGGGGATCCACAACTTGTTAAATAATAACCTCTTACGTCACGTGGCCTACTAGGGTTAGTGATCACTCAAATGTCGGTTACACACCCTAAGCGTTGCGGTGTGGGATAGATAGCAGTCCCGGGGGTACCTACCTGTATCTCGGCTCTTGCTTTCCGTTAGTCTCTTCATACAAATGCGGGAGCAGTGCTTTAATACATGTTCTGTCGCTTTCATCCGCATTCTTGTCCATTTATCGTTCGGTTGTCATCCTAGTCTAGAAAGTATTTTTAATAAGCCGGTGACTAAAAGATGAAAATTATGTTCTTCGGAGTTTTGGCGCCGTGTAGACTCGTCGGTCGATGCCAGCGTTTCGGAGAAGCGTGCTGTCTTCATCTTCAGCCATGAATACAGTAATTTCCTCCGAAACATTGGCATCAACCGACGAGTCTACACGGCGCCAAAACTCCGAAGAACATCATGATCATCATCGACTAAAATAAATTATATTATGGAAAGCCCTCAAAGAAAGTAGATTATTTTTAAAATCATTATCATCATCATTTTATTTTCGAGCGCCCCAATTCAAGTATTTGTCTACTCTGTTGTTGTGGTTTTCTAAATCCTTATTAAAACAAGAGACACGACATTTTAGACGGAAAATCGGACCATCGCAAGGCCTCTAACATCTTAGAACATCACTGAAAACTGCATGCTGTTTCAATAATAAGGGAGCCGCCCTGATAATGGAGGCATCCACCACCTCTGAAACGTCGGCAATCTTCTACCTGACTACATTGCGCAACATTCAAGAAGACTGTCGTCTTCATGCTCTCCGCCTTGAGGACCTGAAATCTCACGTATGAGAAAATATTCAGATATCGGACGGCGGGATTCGAACATGTAATCCCATCGTGTTGGGTGATTGAAGACCTATGACGCCACTCTTACCGGCGTTTGAATAGTCCCTTTTGCGATACTGGTTTAACGACTTCTTGTCTGTATGGTTAACGATAACAGTGGAGATGTTGGTACCCCGTGTTACTAACTTGGCATGCTTTCAGAGCGATCAATATGCACACAAACGGGTTCCAATAGCACCCGCCTGTTCAATTTAGGTGTAATTGCCGACCGAGGTTTATCTGCACGCCACGCGCGATTCTTGTTCCACTTCCGGCGGAAGCTGAACCTGAGTGAGCACCACTCACAAGAGAACGCACCAAGGATGGGTGTACTCGATGACATAGTATCTTCAACCCTTCGAAGCTGTTGCTGTTGCATAAGCTCCTCGGTAGGTCATTTCTTTCTTTCGCCGCTTGCTTCATATTGGCGCAAATGTTGCTGTTGAGAGCTGAGCTTTCAGTCTACTCCTCGTTCGTTTCTCAAAACAAAATATAATTTTTCCAACCCTACAAGAGAACTGGTAAAGTGATTGGAAGATGTTTACTGTTGGACCAGATTTCTTGATCCTTATTAGCGCAGTAGGAGAGTGATTGTAGTTATGTGCCTCGTTATGAACTTCCGGGATTCGTTTCTCGGAAGGATCGTTACGGCTTCTCTTCACCACTACCATTTCCTGTGTTAACGCTCCCAAATTGGGGTGCCGATGCTCTTTCGGCAGGATGCAGTCGTCCTGAGCGTGAAGTCCATCGCCAACCCCAATTAGGGTCAGAGTTAATTCCTGGAACATTACCTCCACACCCCCTGTGTTTTACCTGGTACCCCTGTTTACATTCAGATCATACTGGTTTCGAAGCCCGACCCTGAGTCTGACAAGTTATTCGTTTATTTTGAGGTTTTTACGGCGTCAAAATTTGGATTGGTGATCACCGCGACGCCATTATTCAGAGGACCGCAATACTCGTTATACGTTGTACATCCAGACAGTTATACTGGGATAGTGTATGCCTTAAAGTAGACCACAACCCATACCTTCTGCATCCATCCCATTTCATTATTCATATAAAATTTCAAATTTTCTAGTTTCTAAAGTGTTATAAACTAGCAGATTAAACAAACATAACAAGCATTAGGTGGCGTGGCCATTGAATGCGGTAGTAGTGAATTCTGGTTCAGAAGTCAGGTCGTGCCGAAATGCAGTATTATGCCCCCCCTCCCCAAACAATCGCATCATAATGCTTAAGGATCATTATCATTGTTCCTCCATTGAGTTACAAAGCAAGAAATACAGTTTTTTCCTCAACTTTTAGTGGTTTCTTATAGCATTTGCCACTGCACATTTCATTTTCGTAATGATTAAATGTCTTCTCCTAATTTCGTCTTCCTCGTTCTTGATTGCATATTTTTAAACATTTTCATGTGCATTGCATACGGATACTACGTACTTCGGTGTGTAAAATCTAAAGACGCAGCAGATGTATGCTGACTGCAGGCCACCTGGTGCCATGTTTGCCTCCACCTGCCGCTAGCAATAAGGGAGGCAGGCACTGCAGAAGAAGCTGTTATAGAGCACCACGTTCACAAAGGCCTGCCATTAAACAGAACTCGTATTCTGGGCCAGTTTAGCACAGTTCATATTTCTGATAGTCTGCCATAGAACTGACGCCCAAGCATCTACATCCGCAATACAGAAACTTTCTTCGTCAGTTGATGCAACATTTACTGAGCTTATCAGTTTGTCTGTTTTAGAATCCTAAGATTCGTCACCAGAATATGTTCAGAGTTCGATCTGACCATCGTACTTATTGGTTGTTGTTTGCGCCCTCGAAATACAGATTCCTGCGTTGTGACAGGCTGCTTTTTCCTGGGAGGAAAAGCGTCCGAAACCAGAATCTTACTCAGTACTCATCGTCAAAGACAGAGGCCAGAGAGCGAACATTGTTTATCGTCCGTCTCGTGTTATGTCGGCATTGTTTAGTTGAACTTTCTCCTCTGGATGCATAACTGACGTTTTAACTCTTATTTTTTCCTTTTCATAGCCCTTTCCTGCTGTAGTTGCTAATCAGTTCCTGTTGTAGACGTTTCGTGTGTAACCGTATCACACGCTGTTCCAAAATATGTCATATACTCGTAACAGAATGTCATTAGACACGAAAAGCATTTAGTTCCTGATTTTTTTGAGGCTCTGTAGTCTTGCAGGTTTTTTCCACTGTCCCTGCACGTTCTTCCGAAACGTTGTTAACCTAAAAGGTACATGCACTGCGTCACACCAGAGGTCCACGATCGGCAGTTTCACTGCCATAAGAACCTCAGGTTTAGATACTGAGTTTATCCAGGGAATACAGATAAAATAAATCCCAAGATTAGAACGAAACTTGATAACACCGTAAATGTGGTTACTTTTGGCTTTTTATGTTGTTCACGGAAGCACCTTCTGGCAGCTGCTTTGTGTGTTTGTCCTTTGGCGTAGTTCTAGTGTAACAGCACAACACGGCGTGACTTGTCACAGTCACTGGTCATCTGTGGTGACTTCAGGCGACTGTGGAACCAAATACGATAATTGCCCACTTCCAAAACATAATCGATACTGTGACGAGTGTTTATTGGTGGGTGGTGGGCACTCCCAAGATTGTATTCGCATGGTCTGCGGTCCGATTCTGGACTAGCGGGTTTCGTTGTCCCGACAGACGGTTTCGTAGATTTCCACCCTTCTCTGTGACATAATGGGATTTTACCTCAAAGGAGATCACACACTTTTCATTCCGTGTCCTTCCCAGTTCACGTTTGTATACAATTCACCATCGAGGAAGTGTTATTCGGAAACCAAGAATACTGTTGCAGAAGATATTGGTTTAAAGTAGGGTCATGCTGGATGGATACGGATCAAATGGGATCTTGTCTAACAAGTGGTCTCTTTCCTTCAGACTTTCCTAAGTTTTATATGTACACATTTCTCATATTCCCATGTGTGCAACATGATCGTCCCGTCTCGTCCTCGATTATATCAACTTAATAATATTTTCTTATCATTAGCTTGTTACAGGTTATGAAGCTCCTCATTGTGCAGTTTTCTGCAGCCTCCAGTCACTTTCTTCCTCGTAGGCACAAATATTCTCCCAAGCGAGTCTTGAACATGTAGTTTTCTCTGCGTGTACTTCCAGACCAACCTCCCCAATAGCATCTAATAGTTCCCCTGCGCTGTTCTTTGTCGTATTTACGTTTTTGCCCGGTAGATTAACATCATGATTGCATACCAGAAGTGACATAATATGTAGTTCGTATTGCTGTGGTAGAGATGGGCTGGATGTGTAGCTCGGATGGGAGCGACAAGAAGTTGTGGGTAAATCTCTTGGATGGAGGGCGCCTGAAGGATTTGTCTATTTATTTATTGCTTTTTTATAACGTTGATATTAGCTCATTATGTACCGTCTAATGAAAGTGTAATTAATTAATAATAATAATTTGCAAACGGGGGCAGAGCGTTCGTGTTCGCCGCATTAGTCCGGCGAACTATTTGAAAAAACTAAAGTGAAACGTCTTTGTCGGCGATACTCCATGACCGGCTGCAGCCAGCCAGGCTTTGTTAGCGGGCATGTTGAGCCTTACCTTCGCCGCGATTTTTTTTGTACCATCGGGTTGGAGCCGACCCCTGGTGACATGAACAAGTTCCCTCTGATAGGGACCTCTTCATATGTCTCCTAGGCAGATGATCCGTTGCCTTCTTCTGTGTGTAAATGATGAAGAAAATGGAGTAATTGTTGGGATGCCACGGAGAAACCGGGGAGCCCCGGAGGAAAACTCCGTGATACCTGGACCACGGCCTTGCCCAACACAAGTTATAAATCCGGGCACCACCGGGAATCGAACCCGGGACCCCATGATCGCCGCGGTTACGAAACGGCTTTCAACAGACTCGAACGAAATAAACGACCAGATGATGACGAGAAAAGTATTCTTGGAATACATAATAAGAGCTGAACAAAGTTTGTACAGATATATAATCATTGAATATGGAGAGAAAAACTGATAAAATAACCAATACATCATCAATCTGTCAGAAATTTTCTTTTTCACCTGTTATTTAGTATTTATTCACGACACTTAGAAAATGGCAGAAAAAATTATCTGTAGAGTTATATAATGATAGACGTATTGATATTTGTTTGCCGATGATCAGATCTTGTATGCGATTACAGAAAGTTTGTCTTCATGTAGTATGATGAGTTTTATGCGGCTTCAAGTGAGGCATTACAAGACGATTTTAGGCGCACAAGGAACCATATTGAAGTCGCTGCCTGAAATAACTCGAGAGGGAATGAACAGATTTTGATTATATTTTATATTGAAGAATTCTATGAAAACATATCGAGACATTTCAGGGGGGATTTTGTTTAGATTGGGCAGTTTTAACGACCATTTCATATGGGAACATAAACACTTTTTGAGCTTGTTTATATTATCATTGCCATGCTTCCACCGTTGTTCCATTTTCTCACACGGCAAGTCCAGTACGAAAACAGTTTTGACTTGGCACGTTCGCAGCGAAACGTTTCAAAACTTTCCTATTAGCTTCGCTGTATGAAACAACTTAATACCTTAGAACGAATTTTTGAAATTTTATGTTGCGGAGTTTACTAAAATTTCTCGACTTATTCCAAGTTTTGTTGAAATTGAACGACAGTGAAGATTTCGCATGAATACTACATGCGTTTCTGTTTAAATCAATTAAGAGCCAATTGTCAATATTTGGGGCTTTTCCATAGGATAACCCCCGATTTAAATTTCCACTTACATATAAGAATCCCGTGAGCGATGCCTAGAATGAGAGAACTCGGCCAGTCCGGGAAAACACTTCAAGCAAATGACGTCTCTTTGCGTCCTTTCTCTGTAGAGGGTGTGAAGAATCAAAATCATAAATTGTGTGTGATGTCGGTTGTTTATACTACACTCGTAAATGCTTTTATGATGCATTTTCGCACTAAATTTTATCTTTATAGTCCCTATGGTCCATTGGTTAATGTCATGAAACTAAAAGCTAAATACAGATTTTGCGAGCCTCCACTGTGCTATTTTACTTTGTACACAGGCTTTTCTGGCATAATGTCTGGAGTCGTGTAAGACGTTCGCATGGCGATGATCGAGATTAAAGCCCGAAGCCAGTGCAGTTTCTGCGGCATTGGAACCATACCAAGCGTCTTGAAACCTCCACTGATACACAGATGTACATGCATGGACATTGGGTACGATAAGCATACCCTTCGGAAGAAGGAGGGCAACAGTGAGCGTCATCCTTTCTGCGTTGGGAATCTCGTCTCGTATCCTGACGAGAGCCTGTCGAACTGGAAGGGTAGAATGCGGCCTTGAAACTACTATAAAATTGTTTTTCCGGGCGAAGAGATGTGTAATTTATTTCTGTATGTCCATATTCCAGCCAGAAACATAAAATGATAAGGCGCCTGTGCTGGATTGATCCCACATGCTACTGTCTGGAGGTCCAGAGATCGAATGTCGGTCATCTACCGGCACGTTGTTGTAAAGTCGCCCAGTGAAGTGACCCACATAAATAAACTATATTATTCAGTTCTTACGTTAAAATTTGCCTTCTTTTTAATTGTGTCGTGATAAATTGATTGCAAATGTCATTCACACTTTTCATTCAGACTTAATACACATGTTATTAATTGTCGCCATAAAAGAGGCTGTTTAATGGAAGTAGCACCATTGTTGGCCTTTTGGAGTTCTGCCAGGGAGGATTATTATTAGACTTGGTATTTGTGTAGGATTAATTTAAGCTTCATGGGTGTGCGTAGCATCAACGGTCTGTTATGGCCGTTTATTGAGTGAGAGAATAATTACAGAAAACTTAAACATGCAGCTGCATGGTTCATAATCAGGTATGGAACGGAAACCTGGAATGCATACTGTGTACAATACTGGCCACGATTTTCAATTCATGCGAGGAGGAAGATAATGAGTAGATTGCACCCTGTGATGTGTACAGTGTGGGGCTATTGTGAACTGTTATTATGATCTGACAAAGGCCAGTGGTTACCTAGCCAGTGAGGGCGCTGAAGTCTATGGATGCTGAACTGAATACTGAAGTCGCATACCAACACGTTCTGCTGAATAAATAGTTCCGTTTCTTACCACATATCCGTTCACCTTGGTTGGGATGTAAGAAATGCCTTGAATATATATTGTTTTTGATGTTTTGAATTAAACGAGCATTTGTGTACCTTTAGAGAACTTGTGGGGCATCATGGAGTTCTCATGATCTGGCAGCACAGACTTTTCAGCGCAGTGACACGAAAGCAACCAAATTGCGAATAATTCTTATGTTATTTAATGACGCTGTTTCAAATACAGTTTGTAGGTACCTGTGGATGTGGGAGAAGGCGTCATTGCGGTCTTCGGGGTTCTGTTAAACCATTATCCTGGATACCCTGATGAAAATAATTGACAAATTCACGAGGATTCGGGGGTTGTATTATTCGCCGACCACATCATCTCACTGACGAGAGTTTCGACTGAAAGTTGCTTGATGCGGGGAACCGCTTTGTTCGTCACATGAGTCGACCAAGGGCTGGCTGAAATCGCCCACGGGTAACGGAGGTGTGGACTGATGATCGGCAGGGCAGCCGAGACTGTTTCAAAAAAGACGGTTTGCCTTGGTTCTCAGTTGTAAGGCAAAAGGGGCACGGCCCGCCTTCCCCAATCATGGAGGCCTTCATCCAAACTCCATCAGCCAAAGTGATCCAAATCCTTCTGGGTTCAACTCCCAGACATCCACCCAACCGAACTCTTCGTGAAAGGATACGTTGCTTGATGGGATTATCCTCTCATCAGTAGCAGTTAGTCCCTAGTTCGAGCATGTCAAGGACCTCTGCTACAACGAAAATCCCTTTACCGTAAGCGCACTCCCGGTTATTGTATGAAAGGGACTATTTGCCATTTCTAGCAATTCGTTTCGCACGCGGGAATGGTCTAGCCTAGCAACGGACGGTGTCTTGCGCTTATGCTAAGAGTCCACCTTAGATAGCTTTTTACTTGGTTCGGTCCGTGCTGGGAATAAAGCCCCATTGATACAAACCTTTCATTGTCATCCCGGCTCTCATATTGAGAATTCTGAACCAAAGTTTGTTAATTATTTTGATCATGTAATTTAAAAGGGCTGATTCCACCACAATTTTATTCCCACGACAACTTTCAATGCAAATTTCAGTGCCAAATATAATTGGAATTTGCTGAGTAGTTTCGGCGAAGAAATGCTCAATATGTTTACGGACGGGCAAACAGACGCGACATCTCCATAATGCTCAATTTTATACATACCTCGTGCAAATAACGCAGAGTACTAGTATATTACATAATACAGACCCCAAGGTCAACCAACAACTTCTGTTTTTAAATATTTTGTGTGTGGCGTATATGAAAGGAAATACTAGGAAGAAATATACACAGGGCGGCAAAGAAGTAATGAGACTGAAATGAAATAAGAACGATGTATCGGGCAACATATTTATTACCCTTTTCCCTCGGAATGGTGGTATTTAGAGACCAGGTTCACTGTCAGCTGTTTGCTCAACATTTTTGCAAGCACCCAGTCTTCTGTGGTTTTCCTCGCCACGCAGACTTCGCAAAAAAATTTGAGTGCCAATCTGCGGTCTCTTGCGAGTAAATATGCTCACTTTATCCTCTGATTTGGTGTTGAAGGTCGTTTTCGGTCGTTCTCTGCCCTCTTGAAGATGCTTAAAGCATCGAAACGTTTGTGCTCGGCACAGATTCTCAACCCCATAAGCTGTTTGTAACATTTCATGCGTTTCAGTGGGGCCTTTCCCCAGCTTTGCACAAAACCTTGGGTTGACACGTTTTTCCAGTGTGCGGCTTCTGACGGACGCAGTAATACGCGATGCTCAAAGCACGTCCATACGAAACAACAACGCAATCCCAACTGGTTACGGTTAGTGGTACTGCCAAGGTCGTCTATAGCGGCCTCTAGCGGAACGATCTTCATTTGCATATCTCTGTTTTATTTCGGTCTGATTACTTTTTGCCGCACTGCGTATGCCCCTGCATAGAGAAATATCTATGTCATTTTCAAAACGGTAACTAATTTGGAAGCTGCCTCTACCATCGTCCGAAATTGCATTCCACTGATATGTTTCCGTTTGTCTGATGGTTAACATGCAAGTTTGCTGTTTAAAACGTTCAGGAGTTGATTCCATTGATATAGGATTTGATACTTTCGCGGCGAGTACAATCAATAAAAATCTTCTCGGGCAATCAGCCGCGTTAACTGGTTACCGTAGTAAACCGAGGTTTCGGGAACAAACTCTGTCCCCATCTTCAGGGTTCTGATGTGACTGGATCCTCGGAAGTCGCCTGTAACAGAGTTATTAATATGATGATAATAACGCCTGGCATTAAGTAGCATGTACACTGGATGTTTATGTGTGTTTCAGGCCGGTCTGGAGGGGGATCCTGTTGCCCCGGGAGAATCCCGGAATTCTCCTGGCCCATTGCTTCCGCCTTCAAGCCCTGAAATGGATGACGCAAACAGTAAACGGCAAGCCACGAGGTGAGTACTGGGGAAAGTCAGTTTCATCCCTTTCCTAGTGAACAGATTGAGGCGACGAAATGGGTTTTAATTGGCCTGCCATGGTCCGATTTTGATGATGCGTAGAGGCTGGTTTTGTGGCACTTTTACAGGTAATTCGTATTCTGGGGGTGTCACTACGGGTCAGTGATTTTTTCAACATTTTCTGCTTGAAGATGGCTGTCGTCTGGGTTCTTGCGCATTGTGGTCTGGTAGAAGTTTACCGACGTTTCAGAGGTCCTTGGTGCCGCCATCATCAGGGCGATGCATCGCCCTGATGCTGCATGTGTGAATTCTGTTTTCCTGTACCATTGAGAAATTGACACAGAAAAGACAAAGAAAGTTTCAGACCAAATGATACAGTTCGTTGTATTGATCTCACACCGGCACATTCTGTGTACCGGGGTTCTTAATACAATTAGGAACTAGCTCGTTCAGCCGAATTTGTGTTAAAAGGGCCTATGTCTCAGCTACAGATCAATATGAATGTCACGTCCTAGTGGTTTGCACTTCTGCAGGCCCTGGGTTCGAACCTCGGCCAGGAAAATGGCTATCCCGGGCTTTCGTAGTTTCTTCTCGGTGCTTCCAAGCACGTGTGACTGCTTTCTCTCACCGCTCCAAATTCATGGTTCATAATAGATGCTGTTTATTCTTCCCATCAGCTAATATACAGTGAACTTGAGTCGACTTTCGGCTATATCAAACAACCGTGAAGGGGCGTAAAACGGGGTTGCTCTTCTATGCAGGAAGTCCTTACTTCCAGACCAAATATTTCCAACCGTCATATATAACGAAATCAAAGCTTTTTGATTGGAAAATACCAGACCACAACCGTGGTTCGATTCTCACGTTATAGCTCCCTTTTTGCGACCACCTTCATATTTATTCTATTATCGAGGGTTTATATGAATCGAATTCTGTGGACTCTTTCATTCAAAATGTGGACCCCTTCCTTGCCTTTGCCAACTGTCAGAGGCCAAGTTGATGAAAATTACGTCACAGTGCTGTAATGTTGATATTTCATTACTTGGAATCGAACCACGTTTCGTGAGAAGAGAACATTAGCTGCTGGTCTGAGATTTGAAGTTGTCTCGGCGGTGAAGATATCGATCGTGGTCTTTTGGGCTGTGATGCTGTGTTGCCTTGAGAGGGTTACCAACGTTCCTCCGAAGCACTGATAACCACATAAGCCAGTGTTCCAAAACAAAGTGCTGATGTGTGAAGCAAAACGAGAACGGAGATAATCACGTAACTAAGAACGTGATTAGAACAGACTACCCACGTTGCTTTGATGGGATTGCGAAATCTGTGCAGCAGCCTAGCGATTAAGAGATCGCTGATCAAGAGGTCTGCACGGGCAGAAATTTTAGGATTGCACTCTGTCTGACCCAAGGGCCATTTGGTCCAAGCCCGGAAGTTTATCTTCATATGTTACCCTTATTCCACCTAAACCCGACTTTCTTCTGTTCCAGCCCAAATGGAAGCCCGATCTATTTGTAATCTGCCCTGACTGTCGTAGTATTAATACATTTTTCTTTTAGTACATAAATGCGCGTAATCCTTGAATGAATTATTAAACTATGCTCTTAGAACATCTGGTGTTATTTTGGCGTTTGAGGTCCCTACAGCTGATAATTCGTCTCATTATAATGTTACTTCTCTGCAAGATTTGTGATAATGGTTGATTTATTATACTAATATTATGTTGGACATTGTTGCTTGCTTGTCTGAGGACACACGATGTTTCGGGAGTGGGATCTACTTCCGTCTTCAGGTGACTGGTTGTCATACTTCAGTAGCAACGGATGGAAATGGAATACTGCAATAGGGATCTAGTGGCTGGTTTATTATTCAGAAGTTTCCGAGTTAGATCCCATCCATCGCCACTTGAGTAATATTAATTCTGGTGGTATGACAACTAATAACCTTAAGATTTTAGTAGAGTCAATTTTCGAAACGTGTGTATCATGTATTTATTTATTTGTGGTATATTTAGCGACGCGCTGAGCAGCTTAGACTATCCCGGCATTAGCCGTGCAGGGATTGAATAAGACCACGCAGAACCTGTCACGACTGCCGGTCTTCGTACCAAGGTTAGAATCTGGGACCTACCAGCTACGAAACATGAGTGCCAACTACTCGGCTGCTACATTCGGCACTGTCTTATCAAATTCTGTGATAATTGTGTGTCCGATATCTGATTGGTAGGGGCCGTGAGGTGTAGGCTATAGCGGTGGCCTGGGTGATGGAATGAATATATCAGCCAGCCCGAACTGTGCAAACAACTTGAGAGGGATTATTAATTTAAAAAATGTGGCTCTTCAATACATATTTATAAGAGAAGTAAATTAAGAATTAATATGCATGAAGTGTCGTCACAGAATCGCTTCGTGGTCGTGTTTCTCTCGGAATTTCGCCTTGTTGTACGTGTTTAGGCAACACATACTACTGTAATGAAACAGAAGTTGTCAAATCTCTGCTTATAAATTGAACTTTTAATGGATAGCTAATGTCTGTTGCCCCCAGAAGTACTCACCGGATTTTGGTTGAATGTGCTATTATTGAGTGTTGTATACTGAAAGATGTCGGCTGACATTCACTTAGGCCACGTTTGTTCTACTTTACATGAAACTTAAATCAGACTTTCATAATTTGCGCAAAATGGATCATTGTCGTGGAAGTAGTCGTTGCTTGTACGTGACTGGCTGTCTGCGGTTATCCGAGCTTGGGTTCTTGAGGTTTTTGAAGTGTCTCCAGTCAATGCTGGTGTAGTAAAATAACTTTAAACAGGTCTTCGCCGCTTTCTTCCACTTTCAGTTCATATTATATAGATCTAACCTTGGACTCTGAATGAATGAGAACAATTTCGACTCTTTGCCATGACATCATGCAAGTGTCATTCACTTGTTTGTGACATTGTTTCGACGCAGTAGTGTTTTGTTTGGTCCCAGCCTTCCTGTGTTTGAGGATCGTCGTACAATAGGTTGTTAATACAATAGGTAAAAGGAAGGCGATGTGAAGCGTTATATTGTGCGCAAAACCTCCTATTCTCTTGCCTTGATGTCGAACGGTTCCTCAAGAATGTTTAGTATTAATACCTCTGGTTTGGATCGTGTTATGTGATATTGTGATGTCGATAATTTGCCTTCGATTTCCATAAAAGCAGGAAATATTTTGTTGGGCTGAAGTACGGTCACTTCTGTGGTTTATCCGATATCTAGGAAAGACTATGCATCTTATGGGATTTTTCTCTCAACAAAGATGTCTCCGCCCTACACTCACGCACACATTGGACTGTGATATGGTAAAGTTTCTTGTAGAAACTGAAGAAATCTGGAGATGTCAGACCTCGGCTTGAACATTCAACTCCTAAGTCTCTTAAGCGCCACTGGTCCCTATTCAGAGCCAGATGAACCCAGTCCATATCTTCATATTCTGTTTCTTTAGGACGTATTTTAATATTATCTTCCAGTCTACGTTTAGGGCTTCTTGCCACCCCAAGTGGTGTTTTACCTTCAGGGTTTTCTACCAAAATACTAGCGTTAAATTTCCGATGCTCAGATATGTCAGCTTTCAAAACCGTGTGTAACGTGTTGCATACTAGTATCTTTCACGGCGAAG